GAATTATTGATCCTATACATCCAGAGCCTATTATATGTTCTTCCTCTGAGCCATAAGAGCTCTATTGTTGTTCCAAAATCTATTAAAACCACATCAGTGAGCCTCACTGTTGTTCCTTCATTACCATAAACACACACACTGTAGTTTATTTTAACTTAAACCCACATACACCATCCTGCTGCCCCAAATACTCACTAGAGCACCAAATGTAGATTAATCTGCAGCTGAAAATAGTCCCCAACAAATACACTATTTCCTCCTGTTTCCTCTGTTTTAACTTTATATGATTTGCTTTTAAAAATGTACACAGCATCAGTATGTCGATGTTGAAGGAGGTGGGTGATTCTTTCTGACTTGTCTTGCAGGATTGGGTCTGTCTCATCCCGGCTTGAGGGACATCACTACCTACCACACCCTGTTCCTGCTCTCCATCCTGGGCTCGCTGGCCCTGCTGGTCCTCATCCTGCTCTGTGTGCTGCTCTACTACTGCAGGTGTGGGGAGCGTAGGCGCAGGTCTCAGTTTTAGGTTTCTATCAATAGCAAAAATGATGGTGGTGATAACGGACCCTTCCTAAGCCCCGCCCCCTTTTGGCTCTGTGCTCCGACGACATTTGAGCGAGCCTCGGTCTACTTCCTCTTTTAATGTACTTACAGGTAGTTGGATAGTGTTTTGTTAGCTAATATAAGTTAAGATGTAAACAAACTTATTTTTTAAAAATTTGGTGTCTTTTCACATACATTAGCCTAGCACGTAGCATATGTAAGTACGTGCATAGCATATGTAAGTAAGGAAAGGAGGAAGTTGACAAGGTTTTAAAAGGGGCGGGACTTCAGAAGGGTAGTTGATCTTATGTGAATGATATGATGTTGATTTAGTTCTCATTATTAGATCTTCTTTCGTATCCCGATCGGTTAACGGCTTTTTTATTCACCTTTGACTTCAGTGTCTTGGTTTTCTTTCGGCGGAAGTGCTTAAAACTCGTCGCCAGCAATGGGAAACCCCCTCACGGCCCATTCTGAATGGTGCTAAGCGAAACCAAGGTACGTCCCACCGTCGCGGCTTCAATCTGATTCTGTGGTATCCATCGCTGAGTCGACCTTCTAACACACATCTGTAATGGCCCCATTCGAGACTAACAGAGCGCGAGGAGGACTTAACCAAAATTCCGTTTCCGGCTCACATGTGCGATCACGCGAAGGAAAGAACGCGCGGGTCCACACGCGGTGAATGCTTCCCATGAAGGATAACACGGGCACGACCAACAACGCTGGACAACCCTTTGTGCATGAAGACTACAACCGGAGCTACAGCCCCATGGAGGGAGGAGTCCGAATATCACCGACACCACAACGCCACGACAATCGAGGAACTCCTCCGATCCGCCGGTCCCCGCCTCGCTTCAAGGGGGCCTACTGCGAGCCAGTCGGCAAACCGGCCCGAAATATTCTGGCGGCAGCGGCTGCGACATGTCTTCGCCAGACCCACGTCCTCAACACCCCACCGACCGATCACTTTCTGCAGGCTCCATTGACCATGATGAAGGAGAACAATGTATTCGGACATGTGCCGTACCCTGGTCATCCAGTCCCACGCGTAATATGCGCCTGCCTCCGAGTTCTCCGGAGAAAAACTGGCAAAGATCCAGAAGGATCACATGGACAAAAGACGGCGCTCAGCCTGGGAGGAGGCCAGCAGCTCATCACCACCATTCTTCAGAAATCAAGCCAACTGCATGCAACAGCTCGCTGAGGCGGATCCCAAGGTGATGACTCGGAGGAGCCGAGCTGGGCGTCCGACTCCTCCGGTGGACCGGTGACCATCCCGGTGCTCTTCAACGACTCCACCATGGCTCAGATGAACGGGGAACTGCAGGCTTTGACGGAGAAGAAGCTGCTGGAGCTGGGTGTTAAACAGCACCCGAGGGCGTGGTTCATCTCGCTGGATGGACGCGCTAACGCTCACGTGCGCCACTCCTACATAGATGCCGGGAATGACCTCAGTGGCGGCGGCGGCGGTGGATTCTTAGGTGGTCCCAGCAGCGCTGGCCGAGACGTCAACCTCGAACCACCTCTGGAGGCCCAAGAACGCAAGTCGGCAGTCAACCGGAAGGGAAAAGACGATCGCTGGGGGACGGGAGGGCGTAAGGGCCACGGTGTTAGCGGCGGTGGGAAGAGTTACTCCAAGCTGGCCTACCCTGACCACAGCGAGCCCAGCAGCAGCGAGGGACGCCCGGTCTCACCCGAGGAGAACTCCCTCACCCCGCTCCTTGACGAAGGTCCGTCCTCCCGAGGATCCACCATCCCCAGAAGGGGACGCAGCCGAGTGAACAGCAGCCGCAGCAGCAACAGCGAGAACCGC